CTCTAATCCAGATTAACATTAACCTTAAATCAAAAGCAGTATAAAATAATGAAGATCAAAATAACACTACAAACAAGGCAGGATCAACAGATTATAAAACAATATCAACAAAAACAACAGAATAACAATATCATGAAATCTAATCCAGATAACCACTTAAACAACAAGAACAACACCGCACTCACTAATCCTACAATCCCTCCCTCCACAACAAATAGAATCCCCCATCAACTCTACAAAAACAAATCTAATACCCGGCTTGAACCAAAGTGTAGGCCTATAATTCACCTTGTACTTCCTCTTGGGTGGACAATAGATGATCTCATTGGAATCAATTCTCTGGATGAGCAAAGCATCATCATCGCCAGCGTCGAGTTCCATGAACCTGTCGCTCGGCAAGTCCCTCTCCATCGCGTCCCTTACAGGTCGAGCATCACCTTTTCATTGAGTAAATTAGAGAAGTAAAAGGAGGAAATGGATGTCAACTCCTCGCTCGCCTTCTTCTCATCCTACAAATGTAAACAACTATATCAGAGACTATAGTCTGTTCATTTGTAATACGTATCAAAAATATAAGAATGATTTTCTTATCTGTATCTATCATCCACAATAAAAAACATGAATTATTTGTTAATATTCGCTCGTGAATATGTTTTACTTGTTAAATTTTCTTGTTTGTTAGATATTTATTTGACCTTTCAATGGCCGCCATAGAAAACGTAAGCTAAAGCATATTTTTTAGGACTAACTTAAATATAATATCATCTGTTAAAAAAAAACTCGTACAGAACTAACATGGGTTTTCATTTTGTTTTGAACTGTGATTTTCGTATCAATACACATGATCATCTGACATGATCTAAATAATTTTTATTAATGATATATGGTGAGGCAGAAGAAAATTTAATTTTGTAGTAAGGAATGTCTGAAGTTCTTCCTTAAAAGTTGTATTGATTATACATCTTATATCACATAGTTTATATTGTATATCTTTATAATTCATAGTAATCAAGTAGAAAGAGAATACAACTAAATACGGTGAAACATGGATGATCAATAAAATTGAAAAAAATCACAAGCACGCAACCGACCAGTCACACCCTAAGGATTACTGCGTTCAGCAATACTTTCAGCTTTTTACATCATATATTTGTTACCTTGCGAAATTCCTATCTCTGATGCCGAAAGTCTGGTGTTTAGCTTGAAGCTTATTTATTGTTATCTTAATAATTAAGATGCAATTTTATATCTATGCCAAGCTGCCAATTGAGAATATGAAAAAAGAGCTGTCTATTGCATGTTAACTGGTATAGATACTGTAGGAGTTGCTAGTAAGCCTATTCTTAAGTATTGTTGTGTTTCTGTAGAGAAGCACTGTGAAACTTTCTTTCGTTCTTTGTCAAATACAGAGGAAGTCTTACCAACAATTTTTTCACTTTTTACCAAATTCGAAGTTTTTTTTTACTCACACATGGTTTCATCCGACACGCAGGGACAAGTCATCTTCGCGAGAGGTAAACTGCACAGGTGTTTTCACGTTTCCAGTGTCTTGCACATGCGAGCGAACGAGGATACTGAGTTGAAATCACCCTGTTTTAGGTATTTTCCTGAAGATATTTTAGAAGCCAAGACTACGGCCATTAAATGATGTCATCAGCACATCCATAACGACACACGACTGCGAGCCTAGTGAAATTTACAATGTCAGAAGAAATTCATTAATAACCCCCAGTCAGTGAAAATTCAATTAATGAATCTTGGCTCAAATCACTGTAAAGTTATACGAGTAACGTAATCATACTGTTCAATCAAATGCACCTTAAAAATCTCTTACCGACCATGAAGTTATAAATCCTTGTACAACTCGCTTTCAGATCGACCCAAGGACAGAGTCACGAGTCGAGCAAATGTCCCAGGTATGCGTAAATGTATGAATAAACGAGTCCGGACGTGAGGCGCTGTGATGAGTGAGATGAGCGTGAGTGAGTGAGGGCCGGTTTAATCTAGTCTGCTCAGCATAGTCAGCATTTTGCGGATGCGCCTCAGAGTCGAGAGACGCAGCAGAGTGCATCAGGTTTAGATAATTGTATTACCAAACACATTTACATCAAACAGAAAGGTTTACAGGACAACCTTTAACTAAAAACAATAGAAAGAATTAATTTCTTATGTGTATTTCTACACCAAGGTTAAGAAGTAGTAGAGGGGAATATACGCATAGAATCACGAAATCAATCATCATAACACGCCGGTATGAAACAGGGTGTAGTCACGCACAGTATACCCCAGCTACGGACTCAATAATTACCAGACTGACCAAACAGAGACAATTTATCATCACTGTCACGAAAGCCGGCGGTAGGACACGAAACCCATGGTGCTTGGAAATCGTGTAGGGCCATCACACAGACTGCCGACTGTCCACTAGTGCAACGTGCGCGTAAGGTTAGGTATACTCTTCTTTGCTTTTGCGATTAACGGAAGGCATATTTTATGATGCCGTTGTATACAGAACCTGTGCGTTGTTGT